GGAAGAAGGAGATTTTTGGGGAAATTGGGCAAGAGGCATGGCAAATTGTGATTTATTAATAGTGGTAGGGTATAATTTTTTATTTTTTTTTGCTTTAACTACATTTTTGTTATGAAATTGTGGTGGGATTAAGAATCCCCAATTTATGCATGTATTAAAAATCTTAATGATCGCTTCTAATTATTGTTTAATTTTGAATTTATCTCAAGACTAAAATTTATTTAATTCAATGTTCTGATTTGGACCTCCATGGTGGTTATGGCAACCGCCACCGCGAACATTCTCCCACTATGATCTTGATGTTTTATTTATTTTTTTGGGTGGCTAAATTTCGAAGTTGAGAATTTGCATTCTTGAAAAAGCCTTCTGCAATGAGCTTCTTAAAAATCAGTCATCAATTTTTTTTAATGTAAACTCATCCGATTGCTTGAAGATTCAACATTAATACCACAATTAAAATATTTCATATGAAGGTGAAAATGCAGGGCCTTCCATCTTCTCACATAAGAACATTCTTCTTCTTCTTCTTCTTCTTTTTCCTTCCTTCAAAAATATTCAATTCACGGTGTATAATTAATTTAGCGTTCATTACGAATTGTATATGCTCAAACATACATTACCGAAGCAGTGTATAATGAATAGAAAGAAATCAACCTCTCAAACTAAAACTAAACGGTAAAAAAACATATTTTTGATAAATTTTAAATGTTAACAATTTTAAATAAATAAGTTAGACAAACTATTTATATTAGTTCTAAATCAAAAAAATTTAAAAAAATATATATTGAAAGATATACAATTATTTCAGATCTACCTACATCACAATAATATGATAAAAATAATTATTTAAAAAATTATTTTGTCGTATTCTAATTTTTAAATTTTTAATAAAAAAATGAATGAATAAAAGCAAAATTTGAGAATTGGGTTAAAACAACAAGGCTGAAATTATTAAATTTGAGAGTCAATTTGATCAATTGATAAGTTTGCGGAATTAATTAAATTTTGGATAAGTTTAATTAATGAAATCAGGAGTTTAATGGAAGAATTGATAAGTTTGGGAACTTAATAAAACTTTGATTTTAATGAATTAATGAACTAGGAACTTAATTGAATAAATACCAAAGTTTGAGGTAGATGCAAGGTAAAATTACAAGAAATTAAAGTCAAAGGACCAAATTAAAATTTCAGGGGTATTTTAGGGATTTTAATTGTTTTTTCAAGGGGTAATTTTGAAAGAATTAAAAGTTGAAGAGTCAATGAAGGACCAAATTGAATACTCCAAAAACCAATGACTTTTTTGTAAATGGCGCTATAATTTAGGGGCCTAATTGAAATTAAACCATGTAGGGGCCAAATTGAATAATCCAAAAACCAAAATTAAAAATTGATTTTTCATTGATTAAGGACCCATGTGATAAATATCAGAAGTGTAGGGGCCAAATTGAAAATGGCCATATCAGTGAATGTTTTGTAAACCACTATTCATCTTCTTCCTCATTCGGGAAGATTTATCCAATGGGAAATCCAGTGTGATCATGGACCACGATGCCAACGATCCCTCACGGAACGTGCCTCATTTCTGGAGGCATGAACAGGCGACCTTCTAGCCTCAAATAAAAAAAAGGAACTGGGACAGGCGGACTAAAAAAACACACACAGAGAAATGTAAGGATTACGGACACCACCTATCTCCACATACAACGGAGGAGTCGAGAACGAACAAAAAAGGAAGAAACCAAGAAAACAAAAAAAATAAAAAGCAGAAAAATATGAACGACCCAGAATCAAAGACCACCAAAGAGAACCGGCATCACCATCGTCTTCGTTCCTTCCTCTCTAAAAAACCAGAACTAAAGAGGAGACGAACGAACAAGAGAGGAAGAGAGAACCAGAGAAAACAGTGGGCACAAAAGGAAGACAGAGACAAGCAGAAGGAAAGAACATAAGCAGACGAAAATCACCGAGACCAGAACCAGCGTTGCCACTGTCTTCGACGTTTCCAGAACCAGGTACGCCCATTTTCCTTTCATTCTTTGCAAACATTATTTGAACACCGTGCGAAGGTAATTTTTTAATTATTTTTACACTGTTTATGCATGCGTGAAGTTAGTTCACGCATGCCTATTATATAGCCAGCCGGATCGCTGCATTACTAGCCAAGTCAGAACATATTTGAATGGGAGGTGGCTTGTGCCTTCCTTTTTTTTTTTTTTTTATTTACAGCTTCAAATATGACCCAATTATCGAATAGTGTTCCAGTTTGGACTACACCTACATCTCTTTTCTAAGTTTGGCCCTCTCTTTGTCTTTTCAGTTTCAATACTTTAACTCATCAATCAATCCTTTTATTTATGTGATAGGCCTCCATTTAGGATGAACATTTACCATAAATTAAAGGTATCTTATGGTATCAAACTTGTTGTTATAAAACATGCTTTAGTTAAGGAGTTTAATATTTCAAGTGCAAAATGATGATATAAAACCTTAATAAAAATACACTTTTAAGTACTAATTACCAGGTCACTTGTTTGGACTAGTAATCAAGTAAGGTTGGTTGGGTCAAGCTTAGCCCACATGGCCTGAGTTGGACCCGACCAAAAATAAAAACTTAAAAAAATATATACGTGCATAAAAATAAATTTATTTTATAGCTATGTAATATTTACCAACGCTAGAATTGAAAGTATCCGTAGTTGAATATTCACTAACACTAGAGTCAAGAATATTACAAGTAAAGCAACATAGCTTAAACCAATAAAATTTTAGTAATTTAAAACAAAAATCAATAATGCAGTCTGTCTCAGACATGATATTTAAGTGGTGATAATATCTCTCGTTTACATAACCAATCTCGTATAATATAACTTCTATTAACCAGTTAGGATTCCTAATAATCATAATATAATATTAAGTGATAACTCTTTAAATAAAACCTTTCCATACCAAAAAATAAGATGTCAAAAATCTATTTTTTTTTATTTTCATTAAAAAAAATTAAAACCGCGTAATGTCAGTTGCAATATATTTGATACACAAAATATATCAAATAGAAAGAAACAAAGATTTCTTAAATTTTAAAATTATAGTTAAAAAAAAACTCGACTTTTGATAAATTCTAAATGTTGATAGTTTTAAATGGTTCTAAAAATAAGTTAGAAAACACTATGTACAGTAGTCTAAGATCTGAATCTGAATCTCTGAAATTCATATTGAAAGTTATAATACAACTAATATATAATCCAACTAATTCCTTAATAAAGTTATACAATAAAAATTATAACTTGCTTACAATAGTACACTTCTTTACAATAGCATTATCGCCGGGCTTGACAGACACTTCCAATTCGTTTCCCCTTCTATTGCACCTTGAATCCTGCTAAATAGGATATAGATCACCCAAGAATGATCTCCACCTTCTATTGCACCTTGAATCATGCTAAATAGGGTATAGATCATCCAAGAACGATCTCCATCTTCGACTTCGTGCCCTGAAGAAATGTCCAAACATGGTCTTGTATAAAACAATTCATTATCATCTTTCTTTTTTCTTATAGAAGCAGAACAAAGAGAAAACCTCGTCCATTCCCCTTCTTCAATGGCTCTATAGACACTTCTTTACAATAGTATTATCGCCTGGAAGACTAGTGCAGCCCTGCAGGTTCATAGTTTCAAGAGATTTCAACTCAAAAATGCTTTCTGGAAGCTTCTCTAGCCTCGTAACATCCCTTTAAATTCAAGAAAACAAGTTTTTTCAATTCTCCAACAGATTGGTGAATATCTCCTTGAAGAAATGTCCGGTCGTTTATAAAACAATTCATTATCATCTTTCTTTTTCCTGATAGAAGCAGAACAAAGAGAACACCTCGTCCATCTGCCTTCTTCAATGGCTGCATAGACAGTCCATACAATTAGTCCTGGAATTAAACCATCTGAAATGGGTGGTATACGAAATGTTGAGGAAGATCTATCTCTTTGATATTGCATAAACCAATGCGGTACATCGCTACCCGGGAGAACAACGTCAGGAAGCTTTCCCTTGGACAAAACCTGAAGAAGAATCTCCTTAAAATTGTTTGACAAATTGTTACAGTTTTCCATGCGAATGACTGGTTTGTTTTCTACACTCTCCAAGCCTTGAATCTCAGCTAGTTTTCCACAGCCAC